GGCGTGCGTGCTAGAGCGCCTAGCTGGCCCGACGGGGTCGCAGATCCTTTCCTGGCTTGCGCACTGGTGTGTCGCAATCAGAACCCGGCGCTGCAGTGAACATTCGCTCCCCCAAGCGGCTGGGGACACTAGGGCGTCGCGCGTTGCCAGCTCTTCGCGGCCGCCAGCATTTGTTGGGATCATGCGCACGGCCTCTTCGCTGTGGCGAGCCTTGCCGACGGCACGCCCGGCGAGAGCGGCCCCGATTTCGAGTGCCCAGCAACGGTGTCAGATCATTTTCTCTGCAACGCCAGGGGAACATGAGGAGGAGGAGGAGGAGGAGGAGGAGGAGGAGGAGGAGGAGGAGGCGAGCAAGCCCAAGATGCATCAGCGATGCTGCAATACAGCCTCCCGTCCCAATCAAGCTTCCATCTTCTCCCAGGGAGGGAGGAGATGGGAGAGTTAGAGGGAGGAGGAGGTGGAGGAGGAGGAGGAGGAGGAGGAGGGAGGAGGAGGAAGAGGGGAGGAGGAGGAGGAGGAGGAGGAGGAGGAGGAGGAGGGAGAGGAGGAGGAGGAGGAGGAGGAGGAGGAGGAGGAGGAGGAGAAGGAGAAGGAAGAGGAGGAGGAGGCGGAGGAGGAGAAGGAGGAGGAGGAGGAGGAAGAGGAGGAGGAGAGGGCATCTTGGGAGCTTCTGGCGGCACTCTTGGGGCCTCCTGGGAGTTTCCTGGGAGCCTCTTGGAGGCCTCTTGGGTGCCTCCTTGGGCCTCTTGCGGGCCTTTAGGGGCGTCTTGGGGGCCTCTTCGGCCGTCTTAGGGCATTCCTGGCTCTTCTGACGCCGTCTGAAGTCGTCTTGGGGGCCTCTCTGGGCCGACTTGGGGCCCTTTTGGGGTGCTCCAGGGCCGTCTTGGAGGCCATCTTGGGCGTCTTGGAGGCCTCTTGGGCCGTCTTGGGGCCCTCTTGGGGCCGTCTTGGGGGCCTCTTGTGTCGTTCTGGAGGCCATCTTGGAGACCGCTTGGGCGATCGTGGGGCGATGTTTGGGGGCTCTTGGGCCGTCTAGGGCCGCCGGAAGGCCGAGAAGAAGCAAATGCCCTAATCCGTCAACCACCTGAGAACAATCACTGATTTTGGCCTCTTCGGGCCTTCCTGGAGGCCCTCTTGGAGGCCTCTTGGGCCGTCTTGGAGACCTCTTGGGGGCCTCCCTGGTCGGGTATAGCCAGGACCCCAGGTAAGGGGACCCGGTTAGCGGTAGGGCCCTGGAGCCCCTAACTTGGCCAGAGTCACTAAACCAGGTTTGCCGCAGCTGGTGTTTTTCGGGTGACGGCAGTGCCAGTTAGTGGAACGGGGCGGGGGGGGGCGTCCCCCAGTACATCCAAACCAGGTCCCATTAAATCCAATTCTGCCAACGCCCGACCTGGGCCGTCTTGGCCGTCTTGGAGGCTTCTTGGGCAAACTTGGAGGCATCTTGGACGCTCTGGGGCCATCTTGAAGGCCATCTTGGACCATCTTCGGCGAACTTGAGGGCCATCTTGGCCGTCTTGGAGGCCATCTTGGAGCCGTCTGGAGCGGGAAAAACGTTTGCAACCACCTCTGGGCAAGCCTACCAGGTGGCCGGCTGCATCGGTCGAAGCCCGATGGGGAGTTCTAAAATAACCAAAACTTTTTGAAATCTGGCATGCCAGGCACCTTGGTGGCAAGCCAACAGGGGGCGGCGGATCAAAGACGCCTACGGCGAATCACCGCCGCCCCCTGCCCCTTTGCAAAGCGCCTCTGTGGCCGAAAGCTGGGCCAGAGCTTGGCTAAGCTATCGGGCCAGTTGTTCCCCGAGTCGGTTTGGAAAGACTTCGGGGAACGCGTGGGGTAGCAATAAGAGGAGGGGGAGGATGAGGAAAAAAGAGGAGGAGGAGGAGGAGGAGGAGGAGGAGGAGGAGGAGGAGGAGGCCTCTGGGGCGCCTCTTGGGGTACTCTTGGGGCCTCCTGGGAGCTTCCTGGGGGCCTCTTGGAGGGTTTTTTGGGGGCCTTGGGGGGCTTCTGGGGGGCCTCTTTGGCCGTTTTGGGCGTTCCTGGCTTGTCTGACGCCGTCGGAAGCCGTCTTGAGGGCCCGTCTGGGTCGTCTTGGGACCCACTTGGGGCATATCAGGGGTTCTTAGAGGCCATCTTGGGCGTCTTGGAGGCCTCTTGGGCCGTTTTGCGGCCCTCTTGGGGCCGTCTTGGGGGCCTTTTGGGCCGTCATGGGGCCATCTTGGAGGCCTCTTGGGCGATCTTGGGGGCCTCTTGGGCCGTCTTGAGCCGTCGGAATGCCGAGAAGAAGCAAATGCCAAACTCTTTCAAAAACCCTGGTCAAATTACTGATTTGGGCATCTTCGGGCCCTCCCGGAAGACCTCCTGGACGCCTTTTGGGCCGTCTTGGAGGCCTCTTGGGGGCCGCTTGGGCCATCTTGAGGCCATCTTGAGGCCATCTGAGGCCGTCTTGGGTGCATCTTGGGCCGTCTTGGAGGCATCTTGGGGCCATCTTAGCCGTCTTGGAGGCCATCTTGGGCGTCTTGGAGGCCTCTTGGGGCCGTCTTGGGGGTCTCTCGGGCCGTCATGGGGCCATCTTGGAGGCGTCGTGGGCGATCTTGGGGGCCTCTTGGGCCGTCTTGAGCCGTCGGGATGCCGAAAAGAAGCAAATGCCAAAATCCTTGAAAAACCTAAGGACAACCAGTGATTCTGGCCTCTTCGGGCCTTCCTGGAGGACCTCTTGGAGGCCTCTTGGGCCGTCTTGGAGGCCTCTTGGGGGCCTCTGGGGCCGTTTTGGGCCATCTTGATGCCATCTTAGGCCGTCTTGGGTACATCTTGGCTCGTCTTGGAGGCATCTTGGAGCCATCTTAACCATCTCGGAGGCCACCTTGGCCGTCTTGGGTGCATCTTGTAGGCCATCTTGGGCCGTCTTGGAGCCATCTGGAGAGAAACATCCTTGGCAACCGGGTCTGCGCAATCCTCGCGGGACCATGGCGGGACGGGCCGAAGCCCCAGGGGGAGTTCTTCTGGATAAAGAACCAAAGCCAAAACCGTAATAATCGGCACGCCAGGCACCCCTGCGATGAATCGACAGGGGGCGGCGGATGCAGTGACCTTCGGCCTATCCCGCCACCCTGCGTGCGTTGTGGGTCAGAGTTCTCAGGGATGGTTCTTGGGGTCTCTTCGGAGCACTATCGGGTGCCTCTTGGAGGCAGTTTGGGGGCCTCTTGGGAGCCTCTGGGGGGCCTCTCGGGGGCTTCTTCGGGCCTCTTAGGGGCCTCTTGGGAGCTTCTTGGGGCCTCCTGGGGGCTCGAAGTGTCCGTTCAGGTTCCCCATCTAGGCTCCCTCTTGAGGCCGTCATTTGGGCCTCCCGGGTCATCCTGGGCGCTTCTTGGGCCGTTCTGGGGCCTTCTTGGAAGCCTCTTGGGGCGATCTTGGGGGCTTCTGGGGCCGTCTGCGAGCGTCGGGAAGCCGAAAAGGCGAGAACGCGAAAAACAGTCAACAATTCTTGACGAAAGTCAATGATTTGGGCCTCTTGCCCCCCTCTTGGGAGGCCTCTTGGGGCGTCTTGAAGGCCTCTTGGACCGTTTGGGGGGGTCTCTTGGGGCCCTCTTGGCCCGTCGCAGAGCCTTCTTGGCTCCGAGAAAAGTCAAGCGACAAGCCGCGCCAAGCCCTGGGAGATTTGGCAATTTGGGCTCCAGGTCCCTTGAAGACCCTTCAGGAAGGAAGATTGAGGCCTAGAGCATCGAGCAAAAGGACCCGAGGGCACGCCCACCTCCGTGCCCGGCGGCACGGTGGCGGATCAGCCTTCACTGCAAGAAGCGCCCCCTCACAGACTGGCACCACGTGGGCCTGTCATTCGGGCGAGAGCCTCGCTTGGGGCAGGGAAGACCATGACTCCTTCCAGCTAGCAGTAGGGAGCGCGACAGGTCATGATCACACAGTTCCGCGGGGTGTCCAGTGATAGCCTCGTTTTGAAAAAAACGCCGCCCCCGGACATGTGCAATTGATGCGCCAGGCTTAACTTCAGGTCATTATGCCCGAGGAAGTTTCAAGCGACAACCCCATTTTGAAGAGCAACCCTCCATTCTTGCAGTTGCTACATATGTTTGCTCATTTAGTTTCGGGAGTTCAAGAAGTTACAAGTGAACGTCCAATTTAGATAAGGAGCCGTCCTTCATCTTCGGATCTGCTGCAAATTGTGAAGGCGAATGCGCGCGGCGCCGACGCGAAAATAACATTTAGACCTCCCCACCTTCGAAGGCGATTCAAACTTGTAAGACCAATTTGCGCGTCGCTGGCGCGATAGCTCCATTTTGAAAACCACCCCCCTCCTTTCGTGTAGGTGTTGCAAGCATTGAAGACGAATGCGCGCGATGCTGAGGCGAGAGCCCCATTTTGAACATCGCTTCTCCATCCGAGCAGGTGTAACAAACTTTTATACGAATGCGCGCGGCGTGAAGGCGAGAACGCCATGATAGAAACCACGACCCTCCATCCGAGTAGCCGTTGCAAGCTTTGACAACGAATGTGCGTGGGGTCAAGATGGTAGCCCCATTTCGAAAACCGCTCCTCCATCCGTGCAGGTGTGACAAACTTGGAAAGATGAATGTGCGCGGCGTCAAGGCGAGAGCCCCATTTTGAAAACAACCCCCTCCATCCGTGTAGCCGCTGCAAGCTGTTAAGACGAATGCACGCGGCGTCAAGGCGATAACCCCAGTTGAAAACCACCACCCTTCCATCCATAGTACCGTCGCAAATGCCAAGCTTCATGACCACAGGTGTTGGGAGTCTCAGGCGAAACGAATAGCCTGCCCTACCGACACGTTTTGGGGTGCGACAGGGAGAGGCTGCTTATGAGGATAATGGATAGGGGAGGAGGAGGAGGAGGAGGAGGAGGAGGAGGAGGAGGAGGAGGAGGAGAGCAATAGGAGGAGGAGGAGGAGGAGGAGGGGAGGAGGATAATAGTGATGACAATAAGGAGAAGAATGTCGTCCTCCGCATCCCCCCCCACCCTTCCTCACCTCCCCTCGTCGCCTCATCGCCCCCCTGGTCCCCCTCGCCCTCGTCCTCACCTTCTCGTCCCCCCCTCCTCCTCCTCCTCCTCCTCCTCCTCCTCTTCCTCCTCCTCCTCCTCCTCCTCCTTCTCCGCGCCCTCCTCCTCGCTCTCCTCCTTGTCGTCCTCCTCCGGCGCGGCGGGAAACGCTGCTCGGCACCGCCGTTCGTCCGTCCGACCAGCCGCACGGCCCCCACGGCTGGCGCGATGGTCTCCGCGCCCGCGTTGGTCGGCGTGGTGGAGCCGCCTGCGGGGACGGATACGGGAGCAGACCTCGAAGGGGATGCCGGCCCCCAGCAGGAGCGCGGGGCGGGAGCTGCTCCGCTTCCGCTCCACTCCTTTTGCTCGTCGTCTCCCTCCCCCTTTCGTCGTCGTCGTCCTCCTCCTCCTCCTCCTCCTCCTCCTCTTCCTCCTTGTCCTTCTCCTCCTCCTCCTCCTCCTCCTCCTCCTCCTCCTGCTACTCCTCCTCCTCCTCCTCCTCCTCCTCCTCCTCTTCCTCCTCCTACTCCTACTCCTACTCCTACTCCTAGAGGCCATTTCTTTATTGCTTGGGGCATGACGGGCGTCATGGCCCCCGCTCCCCCCCCCCCTATGACGTAACGCTCCCCCCCCCAGTGCGCTCCGGGCACTGCCGCCGTGCGCATTGTGTCCGCGTAGGAATCCGCATAGGTGTCTGGTCCGCAGGCGTCATCGTCGTCGTCGTCGTCGTCGTCGTCGTCGTCGTCGTCGTCGTCGTCGTCGTCGTCGTCGTCGTCGTCGTCGTCGTTCGTCGTCATCGCTCGTGGTTCGTCGCTCGTCGCTCATCGTCGTCGTGCGTGCGGAAGCGGCTGGAGCCTGTTTTTAAGTCCGGGCCGATGACGGCAATCATCTGGGGGGGAGGGGGTCGATGACGTCACGTTTCGCGCCGGCGGCGTTTGGGAATGGTTAGGAATGACGGAGGACGGGTAGCACGAACATGTAGGTGGCGATATGCACCACAACGCCTGTGTACATCACAGTGCCCGCGTGCACCACAGCGCCTGTGTACCGCCGATGTACACCACAGCAGCCGCGTGCAACACAGCGTCAGTTTGTGCCACCGTGCCTGCGGGCACAGCAGCTCGTGCGTACACCACAGCGCTTCCGTACACCACATCAGCCGTGCGCAACACAGCACAAGTGTACACCACAATGCCTGCGTGCATTGCAGTGCCTGCGTACGCCACGGCGCCTGTGTGCACCACGTCAGCCGTGTGCAACACAGCAACACACTCATGGACAAAGGAGCGCCGCTGGAATCTACGAGTCCCCCCGAGTCCGCCCGCATCACCCTAACTCCCATTTGCGTCCAGGAGGCTCCAGCTAAACTGGCCGTCCGAGAACCAAGTGGACCGATTCAATCGACCATTCTGCGGTGCACGCTGAGATGCGCACGTGCGTTGTAACGTCAAGCCGCACGACAGGGGGTAAGAAGGAGGAAAAGGAGGACGAGGAGGAGGAGGGGGTGGAGGAAGAGCGAGGAGGGGAAAACGTCGCATTCGATTATCAGAACTTTCCTGGTGTGGCGTTTAGTTGTCCGCATCATATCCTGACGTACGTGCTCCTTCTACCTGTCCTATGCACGCAGGCACTGTGGTGTACACCAGCGCTGCGTTGCACGCGGATGCTGTGGTGTAGACAGGCGCTGTGACGTGCACAGGCGCTGCGGTGCATGCAAGCACTGTGGTGTACACAGGCGTTGTGTTGCACATGGCTGCTGCGGTGTATGTACACAGGCGTTGTAGTGCTCCCAAGTATTGTGGTATACACGGGCGGTGCGTTGCACACGGCTGTTGCGGTGTACGCAGGCGCTGTGGTGCACACGCGCGGCGTGGTGCACGCGAGCGTTGTGGTGTACACAGGCGCAATGGGCAGATCGCCACTTACATGCTGCTCGCGTCGTCGTCGTCGCTCGTCGCTCGTCGCTCGTCGCGTCGTGCGCGCGGGCGCGGCTGTGGTGCCGGAGCCACACGGCGGGGGGGGGGGCGTCACGTCATACCCCCCCCGCCCTCCCCCCCCCCCCCCCCCCCCACGCCCGTCATCGCCGAACATAAAGAAACGCCTTCCTATCATCGCCCATCATCGCCGAACATAAAGAAACGCCTTCCTACTCCTCCTCCTCCTCCTCCTCCTCCTCCTCCTCCTCCTCCTCCTCCTCCTCCTCCTCCTCCTGATCTGTCGCCACCCACCCTGGGCGAGGTGCGCCGCTTCCTCCAGACAGCTGGGGAGCCCGACGGGCTACCCCACTCCGCGGGGCTCATCGGGGAGGGCCCGCCGATCCTCGTGGACGCCTCTCCGAGGCGGGATTTTTATCCTAACCATCGCCTGGGGGATCGATCTTCTTGGACCTCTGCAAGCGGTGGATCTGGATATTCGGGCCCCCGGGGGCCCAAATATACCCATAGCCACCGCCCGCTGGTGCACCAGGACGTCGGGTCCTAGGCGGTGGATCTGGATAAACCCCCGCCTCGCAATCCTGCTCCAGCTGGCGACGGGCGAGTCGATGCCAGCCTGGTTCGGGCAGTGCATCGGGGTGTTTCTTTCAGAAGGCGTGGCGGCGAACGAGTTGGCCCCCGGGGCATGCCTCTCCCGGAGGCGCCCCGGCAACGCGCTCCCTCTAAGGCTCAAGAGCACTTGCAACAAAGCGATCGCAGCAGTGGTCATCGTCGTCGTCGTCGTCGTCGTCGTCGTCGTCGTCGTCGTCGTCGTCGTCGTAGTCGTAGTCGTCGTCGTTGTCGTCGTCGTCGTCGTCGTCGTCGTCGTCGTCGTCGTGCTCTTCCTCGTCCTCGTCCTCGTCGTCGTCCTCGTCGTTGTCGTCCTCATCGTCCTAATCCTCGTCGCCCTCGTCGTCGTCCTCGTCGTCATCCTCCTTCCTCGTTGTCGTCGTTGCATCCAGCCCTGGATTCGCACCACGGGGGCGGCCACGCAGCAGGGCTTTCTTGCAGGGCCTCGCGTGCTCAGCAACGCGGTGGAGCTGGATGGCCTGTCGCGGGCTGCCGGCTGGCGCTCTACCAGAACGGGGGTGAGCTCGAGCCGATGCTCCTTGACGCCGGCGCTCCCTCCCGTGCGTCGCTCGTGGCTGCTCCGCACCCTCTCGGCGTCCCAAGGCCCCCGGCTGGCGTCGGAAGGCCGCCGCCCCGGCTCCACTCGTGGAGAGCCCGTGCTCGCGGACGGCGGAGGGGCGGGAGCTGCCTGACGAGTTGAGCTCACCTCCGGCAGTGTCCAGTCCGAGGCGGGAAATGCACGACCACCGCCTGGAGGATCAATTTTCGGGGACCTCGCAGGCGGTGGATATGGACATATTCGGGCCCCCAGGGGCCAACATATGTCCATATCCACCGCCCGCAGGGGCACCAGGACGTCGTTTCCCAGGCGGTGGATATGGATAAATTTCCGCCTCGCATCCAGGGGTGCCCGCTTTCTTCGAAGAAGAAAGGAAACCATACAGATTAAACATAAACTTCTGGTGGCGCTTCGCGCGGAAATTCCTTGGATCTGCACTGGGCCCCCCTGGCGGCGCCTCCGGCGCCGCCTCTGGCGCGCTGCGCGCGCCGGGGAGGGGGGGGCCCAGCGCAGATCCAAGAAATCTGCGCAGAGCTCCAACAGTTTATGTTTATGCAGTTTTTCCTTCTCCTGTTTCTGGCTCTCTCTATGTCGCCGTCTCTCAGTCCCTTTGCATCGGGACACGGAGGGGGCCGTCCAGAGTTGCGGCCACGGGGCCCGTCGGGCCTGCGGGCCTGGCCGGGCAAGGCCAGTAGAATTCATCACCACTAAGGTCCAGTGGAAGCCCCCGTTGCAGCGAACATACCCCAGCGAACAAGAACGGGCTTGGTCAATCGCCGCCCGCTGGGCCAGGCATTTGCGACGTACACGCGAAGCTTTGGTGAACGCAGTGTCTCTGCTCCACCATCAGGAACAGCACGGAGTGGCAGCAGAGCCTCTCTATCGCAAGGCCGCTGACATGCTGATTGAACTCACGCGTTTTTTCGCCAACATTCAGCGAGCGGGCGAGCTGCAGCGTCTAGATCGTCCTGCGATGGCGTTCTTCTGCGAGGGACTTCAATGTTTGTCTCGACCAGACTTCGATAGTATGGTCGATTCGATCCTCGCACGTGCTGAGGCCACTGTGGAGCAGCAGGCCTCCCAGGCAGCCGAGGCCTGGAAGGCCTGGGCGGCTGCTGCATTCAAGGGGGAAGCTAAATTAGCGCATCGATTTTCGAAGGCTCGAGCGCTCCAGGAAGTTTGCGATTCCAGCCATTTGCCCAGGACGGAAGCCCAGCCCTTCAAGTTGGCTGACCGTGCTATGCGGGAATGGGAGGGGATTTGGAGACACCACGGAGTCTCAGCCCATCCCTCCCGCCAGATGCCAGCTGCTGGGACCCCCTCCCTCCAATTTCTGTGCAAGATGTGCGAGACGCTTTGATTAAGTTTCCTTGGAGCACCGGTGTAGGCCAGTTCGACTGTACCCCGCGTAGTCTGATCTTCGTGAGTGACTCTGGGCTCCAGGTGCTCGCCAACCTTTATATGAAATGCGAAGAGCTGCTCATTTGGCCCTCGGACCGTTTGTTGACTCAACTTCCCAAGGCCTCAGGCGGATGCCAGCTTATAGCCTTGCTCCAGACCCTACTTCGAATTTGGGGAAGGATACGCAGAGGCTTGGCGGCAGATTGGGAAGCGGCCCACCCCTTGGACAGCATATGGGGCTCCGGGTCCGGTAGGTCTTCGTCGGTCTGCGCGCTTTCACTCAACATGGAAACGGAGATCGCGCACGAGCTAGACGAACACAGCTTCACGGTCTTCATTGATATGAAGAAATGTAATGAAATGGTCATCCTGCACCGCCTTCTCGAGGAGGCGCGCGAGGTTCACTTCCCTCTGCAATTAGCGTGGATGGCCATTCAATCGTACCTCCAGCCTCGCTCTCTTCGTGCCTTTGCGAGCCTCTCCTACTCCTACTCCTCTTCTCAGGGTACTTTAGCAGGGTGCTCGCTGGCGACAACAATGCTGCAGGTGTTATTGTATCGCAGTCTGCTGAGCGTCCAAAAGCTGTATCCCAGTGTCACGCCTCGTGATTTGATCGATGACGTGAGCTTCACTTGGACGGGGAGTCGGTTGGAGGCTGGGAGCGGGGGGGAGGATGAAGCTCGAGATCTAGCTTCTGCAGTGCACGCGTTTAGCCATGACGTCAGACCTCTCGGCTTGATCATCCAGACCACCAAGAGTGGCTTTGTAGCCAACACGTCTCGTGGTCGTGCTCGGTTTGCGAAGCACGTGAAGACGCTAGGACTTCGTTCCAAG